GGAGGATGCGAAAAGGTGAGGAATTGATTATACTTGATCTTCCAAAGTTTTTTGTCAACAGTATAGTATTGATATTTTGTATCAGTCAGTATTTTGCTCTGACTTTGTGTTTTGTGAGCTTTATTGAGATTTTTTGATGGCTATACTTTTCTTCACCAAGCCGTTCAGAAGCCAAAGCAGAGAAAGTAGCGTGGCCCTTCCGTCCACCGAGGTCGTGGTAGATGAATTTGGCGGGTTCGGTGTGCAGACTGCGCTTTCGATTCGAATGCCATTATGGTCCGAGAGCGACATCCCAACGGTAAATTGACTGTTATAGCACTTCCAGTGTAAAATACATTTTCTAGTCTCGTAAATCTTCCCGATCTGATCGTAGAAGCGCATCAGTTGTGTCTATGCCAACGACTTCATCAGTGCCATCGTCGTCCTCATCATCCCGGTATGACACCGAAATGCAGACTGAACCTGTGAGGATCGAGTTGGAAGATAATGTAAGCGGTGTGCAAATGGACTATAAACACTTCAATAGTCCAAACATTACAATATCACTTATTGGAATGATTTTTCAGGTTGTTGTCGGGTATCCGTTGAGCGATATGCTTTTTGCACCTCCATCGAACTCCCTAGTACATGTTGCCGTCAAAGAGGAGAAAGAAGTGCTAAGATCAGCTCACTGTACGACTGATCAAACGTCTCGTATAGTATCGTGGGAAGATGTGCTGGATGGGTCATTCAAAAAGGTTAGTAGTTTTTGCTACATGACAAGGTCAAAATTTTTCTCTCGAATTTGGGCGATATTTCCTATCAGAATCAAACCTCATTTTCTAGAAGTATCCCCAAAAGAGGATGGAATCAGCGACATCTTTGGAAGAGCAAGTGCATGTATGGAATGTGGTGGCATGTGGCTTTAGTGATCCTCAAGGTTTGCAAAATTTCATCCTTGCAACATCCTACAATTGCAGATAACTTGTGAACGTCTTTCTTTAACTTCTTGAATTCCTCCAAGAACTTGTGGGATTTATGAAAAGAAAAAAGTTTTTCAGCTGTGAGAGACTTCGTGTTGAATCATAGCCCTGGCGAGTTAGGAAGTCTGTCGTTGATAGGATCTCCACCAAAGCGATTACGCAAAGAGGAGAAGACTTCTGG